TTTAGCTTAAGTCGGCGCTGAGCCAACTATACCTTTCTAACCTTGGGTTACATCCCTTGTCTTTCTACATCTTCTCATCCATAAAATGAAGTGCAATCATCTACCTTAAGGCCTGCTTCAAGGGCTAAATGATATGTCACATGTAAACTAGGCTTTGCATGCAGAAAGCTCTTATAAAAGACAGGGGAAGGCATAACAACAGTGCTCTTGTTGCTGAGGATAAACCCCTAGGGTGTAATCTGTGGGACATACAGCCTGTGTCCAGCACCACCTGAAAGGCCTGCAGCTGCTCCCTCCCCTCCAGGGAGGATCATCAGGAGCTTTAAGGACGGAGGAAGCACCTGTGAAAACTCTTTAACAGTTTTGAAACTGTGCAATTTCCTGTCATTATTTCTGTACCTCCCTGTGGTTCCCCTGTGGAACAGCAATAAAGCTTTAACACAAAAGGTTTGTTTTTAATAAAATGTGCTTGTTTTAAGATAAGAAAAGGAGTTTCTGCAAAACCTATGTCCCTTCCCAGCTAAGCAGAATGTCTGCCAAAAAGGGGGCTCGGGGGCAGGGAGGCAGCCAAACTGGGGCTGGGAAGAGGGTCGGCTTGGAATGAAGCAGCAGCTCTGTGCTTGCTGAGGCCCATGCCAGACACTAACAATCCACATGTACTGTTGCCACTGAGCTCAGAGAGCACAAGGCCCCACTGTGGAAACTAGACTGCTGCCCACAATGTACTAGCCCCCACAGGCTAGTTCATTGAACAGGCACACCTTGTTCATTGCTGCAGCCCGGAGTAGAATACTGATGTGTCTGGCACAAAGCAGGTTCTCAGTAGTAAGTGTGGAAAGAACTGAGTGGAAGAGGTGACACAGGCCACTTCCTACTATTTGGGTCCCTGTGGGAAGGGGTCATGTCTGGGATGGGTAGTTCCAGCACAGTGCCTGATGCCCAGAGCTCCCCTCTCCCTCCCAGGCACCAGTCTGTATCCAAAGTGAGGGAGAGGGCATCTGCTACATGTATGCACACACACGCTCCCTAGACAATGTACAGGTACCTTATATACACTATCATTCCACCTTCACAAAACTCCATGAGGATGATTCTATTTTTCTCCCATATAATCAATAAGGAAACTGGCTGAGCAAGGTTAAGTGACCTACTCAGCTCACAGAGGAGGTGATAGAGAGGGCTGTCAACCCCAAGTCAGTCTGGGTGCAGGTCCTGAGCCACACAGGCACTCCTCTAGGAATCTCTCACTCCTTGGCTATCAGCTCTACCCCTCAGCCCCCCTTTAGGAAGCCCAGCCGTGGTTTCCCTAACCCCTCACTGCATTCTTCAAGAAATGACCACCAATGTGCCGAGCCTGTTCCCCTGGGTCCTCAGTGGGAGCAGAGCTGACGGGGAGGGTGGCCGGACTCACCATGCGGAACTGTGCCTGGGCCTGCTGCAGCAGGCCCTCCTGCTCAGCCTGGGCAATGCTGACGAAGATGCCGACCTCCGGGTTGAACTGCAGGATGCTGCCTTGTAGGCGGGCGACAAAGTGACCAGAGCTGCGAATGCAGCAGACGCGCACCACTGACTGCGGGAGACAGGAGCCCGCCTGGCTGAGCAGGGACTTCTTGGCCCAGCCTGCCCCCAGGACGGACTCCCTCCTCCCTTCTCCATGCTGGCCCAGCCACCTTGGCAATAAAAGCTCCTTGAGAAACATCTGTGAGCGGGAAAGAGGACCCCTGAGGACCAGAGCCTCCAGCTGTCAGGAAAGGAGTAAGAAGACAGGGCAAGGGGACTCTTAGGAGGCCCAGAATCAGGTGTCCAGGTAAGCAGAAGGGGAAAGGCACTGGGCTAGAAGTGCAGGGACCCAGGCTCTACTACCAGCTCTCTCCTCTAAGTCTCAACTCCTCATGTGTAAAAAAGGAGATTACATTAGATCAACACTTTCCAATGTATTTTTTGCAGTCAGTAAAACCACTCTTCCCCTTCAAATAAAAATATTATCTAGAACCTTAAATTATAAGACAGACTCCAGCTAAGATGTTCTGGCAGGAGAGGGAACAGCAGGGCGTGTGTCCAGGGAAGGGACTGGGCAGCTCCTTGGTGTCTTCCGGCTGCCCCCAGGACCCATGTGGTGAAATGAATTCAAGGGCAAAGCTGCTGGATGAAGCAGGCAGCATTTCCACAAACTTTCTGATTGTTTGATGTTCAGCTCAGAGGAGGCTGGGCCCAGAGTTAGGAAAGAGACTGGTAGAGGCCCCAAAGCCCTAATAATTAACTTCCTCTGCCCTCTACTGAGCAGAAACTACCAAAACAGACCTTTGGAAGGACATTCTGCCAAGGCAAGCTAAAACAGCTCTTTGAATAAAGAGGGACATAGGTCTGCAGCCCCAAGGACATGTTCCTGTCTGGGTGAAGGGGGCACCCTTCTCCTCCCTCCCCAGCCCGGAGCCCCTGCATTGCTAACCAACAGAGCCATGGCACGAGAAATGACACCTCACCTCCTCCAGCGCATTAAGCAGAGGCCGATCCACATCAAAGTTGAAGTGTCGGTGAGCAGCTCGGAGTGGGGGCAGGTTACGAAGAGCAGTGTCCTCCGGGAGCAGCAGGCCTGAGGGGGGGTCAGGCAGTTCACAGCCTTCGAGAAGACCCTGGACTTCAGGACACAGGACCAGGCCTGGGCAGGAAAAGGACACATCAGACCATCTACCCTGTGGGAGTTCCCAGTCAAAGGGGCATAGCCCTTCCCTCTGGAAATTATCAGGCTAAGGAGACAGAAGTAAGAGAGAGAGAAAGGGAAGGAAGAAGCGAGAGACAGATATAGAAGAGCCAGTGAGGGCAGCGCCCGTAGCTCAGTGGGTAGGGCGCCAGCCACATACACCAAGGCTGGTGGGTTCGAACCCAGCCCGGGGGGCCAGCTAAAACAACAATGACAACCTCAACAACAACAACAAAAATAGCCGGGCACCTATAGGGAGACTGAGGTAAGAGAACCGCTTAAGCTAAGCCCTAGAGTTTGAGGATGCTATGAGCTGTGACTTCATGGCACTCTACTGAGGGTGACAGCTGAAGACTCTGTCTCAAAAAAAAAAAGGAACAGCCATGAGGAGCTCTAGAATGAGGCAACAGGTGGAAGAGTGCAGGTAGCTCAGAATGGCAGGGCTCCCTGACAGGAACAATCACCCTGGGACAGAAACAAGGGAGCAGCGGGGGCCAACAGCCCTTCATGAGTCTCAAGAGGCAGGAGCAGGTTCTATCTGGAAGGTGATGAGAAGGGAAGAGCCAGATGGAGGAGGGCTGGAGGTCAAAGTCAATTCTCCATAACCATAAGCATCAGTGCAACAGCAGTAAGGACCTGGATGCCTCTCATGACCTTCCCTTACTCCTTTACAGACCAGGCTGCCTGCTCCACATAATGCCTGTGTGTGCTGGGAATCTGAGCAGCAAGTCCCATTAAACTCCTTACCCTAAGGGCCAGGTTATCAGGAAGGAGGTGGGCTTAGTGGGGCTTAGTGGGACCACTGGGGACAGGAATGGGAGGGCAGTACCAGGATCCACTCACCAGACTCCTGGAGTTCACCCGCAGCTGGCAACAGATTCAGCAACACAGACAGGCGGTTCCACAGACTTTGAGAGCTCTGGGGAGAGAGGGGAGAGGCCTTTAGCCACAGACAGTGAGATAGGATGCCAGTGAGCAAAGAAGTACCACTCTAGGAGGGCTTGGGGCTATGTTCAGAGTGCTGGAGGCATTTCACAGAAAAAAATTAACAGAAGAGGACAAAGTCATGGAAGACTTAGAAAATAGGCTGGTCCCATAAGGAAGAACATGGGGACCAAAGAGGCTGGGTGAAGGGGGCACACTGAATGCTTCACAGGAGGAGAGGGCAGTGAGACCATAGGGAAGGCTTCCAGGACGTGCAGTGGGAAAGCTGGAGTGCTGACGGAGGTGGCTTCTCTTGTGTCTAGCAGAAACCTCTCCTTGCAGCCCCACCCCGTGTCCATACTGCGCTCCTTTCTGGGGACCTGTCCCAGCACATCCACCTAGACCACACCTCAGGGACTGAGGCCGGGGAGCCACTGTCATCAGACAGAACACACATCAGCCTCCAGGGACGCGGCAACCCACAGGCAAGAGGGTCTTCTGCAGCAGGACAGGTGTGCACTGGACAGTAATACTCTGAACAGACACTTCTAAAGTAAAAAGCTGAAGATTGGGACTCTGGACCTGAGGGTGGAGAGGAAGCTCCACGGCCCCTCCCAGCCTCCATGGCAGCCAGCTTGACACCTCTTAGTCCTGTTAGAGGACTCTCCCTGCCCAAAGCACCTTCCCACCCCTTGTCAGAAGTTCCCATCTCTTTTGTTACCATCCTCTACTCAGTCCGCTCTCCCTTCTCTGAATTTCTTGGCATTTATCTAACAGGTTGAGCCATGACCACACACCTTCACTGGCAGTACTCATAATGGCAGATATTGTGCCCTGCGCTGAGAATACACAACAGAATAAACAGCTCTCTCACCGTCCCCAGCCACAAGTTCTCTGAGGACAAAGGTCATGTCTAATCTTTCCTGCAAAAACCTTAAGGGCCCAGCACAGACAGGGGCCTGCCAACAGTTCTTGCCTTGATCAGACCACCTGAGGGAGCTCCCAGGCCCACCCCAGCACATCCCCTCCTCCAACACCCAGGGGCCTGACAGGGCCATAGGGGACTAACACACCTGTGCACACACAATGATGAGGTCAGGGTTGGTCCGCAGCCAATCCAGGAAGACTTTCACAGCAGGAAGCAGGCCTTCGGCAGCCAGGACCTGCAGCTTCTCTTGGACACTGCGTTCATTCCGACAGGAGCGCCCGCTGCACTCGCTCCCTTCCGACTCAGAGCCCTCCTCGGATGCTGGGTAGGTGAGCAGAGGAGGTTACTGGGGTAAACCACAGGCAGGCACATACAATAGGCCTCCACTCTGCGGGAGAATCATGCCCCTGCCTCACTTGGATTCTTGGGGGAATTCTGATACGCAAAAGATGGAAATTCATATACAAACCCTTTCCCAGTTTTTCCAGGCCCACTAACTGGTTGCCTTTAAACCAAAAGCCTGGTGCCTTGTTAAATATGGTTCTTTGAGACTCAAGCTAAGTGAGTCTAATATTCCTGAAGTGCCAACTCTGCATGGGAAGGGAAGGCAGAAGGAGCTGTAAGGAAAGGGACAAAACCACTTCTTCTACTTTCTAATCCAGGCACTCGGTCAGGTGCTGGGGATACAGCACATTCTATCCTGCCCTCAGGAAGATCCCAAACTAGCTGGGGAGACAGATCAGTCAATAAATCTCTTGAGAGTTTATTGGGAAAGGCTAGAGGCTGAAGACCTGCAGAGGGCCACCAAGAGCCCACAGGAACCAAGCCTAACCTAGCTTTGAAGGGGTCCTAGACCAAGTTAGTATTTAAGGTAAAGTCTAAAGAGCAAGTAAGAATCAGCAGAGTGACAGGCTTGGGGTAAGGGAGGAAAACTATGTTCCAGAAAGGCTGACACACACAAGTCTGGAGGGGCTGGGTACATGGCTCATGCCTGTAATCCCAGCATTCCAAGAAACTGAGGTGGTAGATCACTTGAACCCAGGAATTTGAGACCAAACTGGGCAGTACAGCAAGACCAGTCTCTACAAAAAAATTTAAAAATTAGCCTGGCATGGTGGCACATGCATATAGTCCCAATTACTGAAGAGGCTGAAGTAGGAAGACTGCTGGAGCCTGGGCATTGGAGGCTGCAGTGATCTATAACATTACCATTGCACTCCAGCCAGGACAATAGAAAGACTCTGTCTCACCGAAAATAACAAACAACAACAACAACAAAATTGGAGGTAAAAATCAGCATTTAAACTAATATATAATAACTCTTGTACCATAAGGTTGCCATGAAAGTTAAATAATACTTAGAACAACACAGACTTGTGCTTAGCAAAGAGTATGCTGGACAAACAGTTGCTGATGCTGAAGACTCTTCCTTTGCAGGGAGGAGGGGAGAAGTCTCACTCGCCAGCCTTGGTAATGATGGTTTTTCTAGCTTCTAGGAACCTTGGAGGGACCTTGGGTAGCACCAGGAGAGAAACCTACAGCTGCAATTGTGGAGGCAGGAAAGCCTCAAACCCACAAGGCAGGGTAGAGTGGGAGAGAAGTAAAATCAAGAAATGCACTGGGAGCTGGGCATAAGGAAGTGAGGAGAGGGTATCACCAGGAAAAAACTCATGAGCTATACTATACCAGAGGGTCCAGTAGGGCAGCAAGGGCCGTGAAGAGAGGCTACTCCCTTGGGGAGAAAGGCTACCTCTCAGGGAAGAGCCCACAGCCATGGAGCTATGGGCAGAGCAAGATGACAAAAAGGTCCAAATACCTGGCTCTGAAGGCTTGTCCACATCCCCATTGACACAGGGCCTCCGGCCAGCCAGGGTGTGAGCTTCAGTGGTGGGCTGGAGGAGCAGGTTGCTGAAGGTGGGGGCCAATCGAAAACAACGCTTGGTCTGGAACATCTGGGTGGACATGGCTTGCAGATTGCTGGCAATGCTAGCCTCACTGGAGCCCAGTGGGCCATTGAGGGAATCAGGAGCCTCTGCTCTGGCCCGAGGGGGCTCCAGAGCTGGGGACCGTGTCCCCTCCTCCTCTTCCATATCTTCCAGATCTGATCGAGACTCCTGGCTGTTCATTTCTGAGTCTGTCTCAGCATCAAAGGCTGTTCCCCCACCTTCAAGACTCTTATCAGAGCCGCTGTCTGAGCCCTCACTGGCCCGGGCTGAGTCATGGCTAGAGTCTGACTCAAAACCTTCACTCAGGTCACTGTCATCACCAGCTTTGGGTGGGTGTCGGCGGCGGCGGAGGCAGGAGAGGCGGGAGAACTTGCGGCTCTTTCTGCCCTCATTTGCCTGGGGTTCTGTGGGAGGAGGCTCGGGGTCTGGCTCCTCCTCTTTCTCCAGAAGTTCCTTGGGCTCTGGTTCATCTATGGAAAGAAAAAGGTTAGGGGCCTCAAGGCTGGAACAAGCTCTCCAACACCACCACCCCCCACATATCTGCGTCTCCTCATTGTTTCCCGTACCCCACACCAACCTTCCCACTCATAACCTCCCCATTCTCCCACCTGTGCCATCACTCTGGAATGCAGGGACAGCGTTCTCCCCCTCTTCCAGTTCAGCCTGCAGCCGGATGTTGACATGATTGACGAGGTGAGAGAAGAGGGCCAGGGTAAAAGCAATCGCTGCACTGTACTGCTTGGACCCTGAAGCCAGGGAAGCCAGACATTAGGGCCCAGGGCCAGATGACGAGTGGGTGCCATCAAGTCCAACCCAGCTCACCTGTTCTCAATTCTTCCAGGGATCAGACTACCCCTCAAAGCTTCTTCCAAAGTGAAAATTATTAGTAAATGTTTTAGGTCTTTACTCTTGTTATTCCTCCTGTAAGCTACAACATACCAACTCATGGCTGGGTGCAGTAGCTCAGGACTGTAATCCCAGCACTTGGGAGGTAGAGGTGGGTAGATTGTCTGAGCTCACAGGTCAGAGACCAGCCTGAGCCAGAGTGAAACTCCATCTTTAAAAAATAGCCAGTGTTGTGGCGGGCACCTGTAGCCCTAGCTACTTGGGAGGCTGAGGCAAGAGGATCACTTGAATCCAAGAGTTTGGAGTTGCTGTGAGCTAAGATGCCATGGCACTCTACCAAGGGTGACGAAGTGAGACTGTCTCAAAAACAAAACAAACTAAAATAAACATACCAACTCACATGTGCTCCCTCCTGTGAGCAGATCCTTTTGTCCTGTTTGAGCCTCCCTGCTTTGAGCCTCCTTCCCACACTTGTGTCTTCACACTGACCCTGCTCCTACCTGCCTCCCTTCCAGTCTTGCTCCTCATACCCTGAGGCCAGAAACGTTTCCAGAACAGCCTAAATGCTCCCAACAGCAAGGTCTGAATTGTCTGGATCGGCTAAGTATCCAGCCTCTGCTCTTTGCCTGGAGGTATGCAAATTTGTAGGCAGGGTAAAGGAGGAGGGGGAGTGGAATACACTGTGGCTAGTGCCCCTTCATCAGGAGCACTCTAAGGCAGGGTCCCTGGCCCTTATTCCCAGAGCCAAGTAGTGACACAAGAAGTGAAGGGACTGTCTGTGGGAGGAAGTTTATCAATACAAAGCCTAAGAGAAGGGCAGTGAGGATCCTAATACCAATGAAAAAGAGAGGGGCATGGGGAAAGTACCTGCTCTCTTTAAGCTGTGCACACCCATAAGGCAGATGATGACCATCTGGAAGATGAGAAGGTCCGGGAGGAAAGCATAGCCACTCTCACACTCCTCCTCCTCCTCACTGGCCAGGCTGAGGCTGGGTGAGGAGGGCAGGTAGAAGAGACAGAGGTTGAAGTCCTCCAGGACTGACTGGCAAAGAGCGGTGAGCTCTGAGTCCACACAGCTGTGGAGGGGCAAAAATACAGGGAAGGTCAACGGTGGGGGCTAAAGGGGAAGTGAGGACACAGGATCAGAGGAAAAACTATGGGATCCTGCAGGGATCCTCAGAGAGCAATAAGGGAGGGCAGAGCAGGACTGACCCCATGGCAGACAAAACAGGGAAGTATGTGGGTGGGCTTCCCAGTCACCTCCTCTTCCACATCTCTTAAGTACCCACTTTTTTTTTTTTGAGACAGAGTCTTAAGCTATCACCCTTAGTAGAGTGCTGTAGTGTCACAGCTCACAGCAACCACAAACTTTTGGGCTTAAGTGATTCTCTTGTCTCAGCCTCCCAAGTAGGAACTGTAGGCACCCATCACAATGCCCAGTTATTTTTTGTTGTTCTCACAGTTGTCCTTATTGTTTTAGTTGGCCTGGGGCAGGTTCAAACCTGCCAACCTCAGTGTATGTGGCCGGTGCCCTACCCACTGAGCTACAGGCACCGCCTAAGCACCCACTTTGTTCTGCTAGAGGAGGATGAGCTGAGAACCGTGGGTGGACCTAGGGGATGCCACTGAAGTTCTCCAGCAACTGGCTGGAGAATTTCAAAATGACACAGAACTCTATAGTTCACTCCCTTCAAGGTAGCAAAGGGGCGATCATGGCTGGGGTTCAGAGACCATGCTTAGAGGTTTCCACTCACCTGCTTTTGGGCTGCAGGAGGCTTTGCAGATACATAAAATTCACCAGCAACCTTTTAATGTCTTTACATCTGAAATGAAAGGAGCCCTATGGTCTTACTGTGCCAAGTGAGAAAGATGCCCCCTTCCACCCACAGGCCCCACTCACCGCTTTTTGCTGGGAGAGAGTTTGCGAGTCTCACACTTCTTCAGCTGGTGGTACATTTTGGCTGCCTTGTCATACAGCCGCTTAAGGTTCCCATAGGCCCCCTCAAAGGACACTTCTGACTGGATGCTGAAGGAGAAACAGAGGTGAGCTATTGAGTCTTGGCAGGGGGAAAGAGGGAGACAGGAAATGTCCCTCTATGGAGGTTTTAAGGAACATGTTACTAGTGAAGTAACCACAGGCTGCCCCTGCCTCACCTTCCACATGTACATTCAGGGTCAAAGACTCCTGAGCATTCTTTCCTGATAAAATACACACACAACTTTCAGATTAGTTAAAGATGATACCATTCTCTCCTCTG